TTCAGCCGCTGCACGAACAATAATTTGAAACAATATTATATATTATTATATTAAACAATGTGCATAATTGTATATCATGGTAATGCGAGATATTATTCCCCTTTAACACACGAAAATGCTGGACTTACGTTACGGTGTTGCATCATTGCATGCAATTAATGCATATCTCACTAAAAGTACACACGTAACGCGCGAAGATTAGAAGAAATTTCTTGGAACTCTGACATCGAGGTTTTAACCAGTGTCTCGTTGGTGTCTCCTCGAGGCAGCTTTAACCAACTCCTTGACACCAGAGCGTCACGCCTGTAGACAGTGCTTGTTGACACTGAAGCTGTTTTAACCAGCTCCTTGACACCTCTCTCTAACTCTCTCCCTCTTTCTCTCTCCCGCAGACAACTTTAATCAGTTCTTTTAACGTCTCCGCGTGGTCGTTTGGACCCCTTCTTTCGGCTTCCGTCGGGACAGTTTCAAATTGTCCTCTGATAATTAGCTATGCAGCGTAAACACGGGGCTAGTTCTCGGTGTACCGGCTTACTCTGCGAACTTTCGCATTCGCCCGGAACTTACAAGGCGGAGAAATTAACGATTTTTTTGGAGAAATTAACGATTCGAAGTTATAGCTTCTCACCTTTTATTAATTAACGCTATTTTCACCGATATTTTGTATCATACAATTTGCCGAATTAATTTCGTGATAACTGTAGCAAAAGTCAAGAAGCGATTACATGAAAAGCATAGAATGTAGGATATAATTTTCATAAAAAATGATTAAAATATGTCATTTAACCCGTTCGGTAAACATAGTGTTAAATAGAAATTATTTAAGCTACTCATGGCGGACTTTGGACCCATTTTTCTAACGAATATCAAATCGTGCGATACTGTAACTTCGAATCGTTATTTAATTGGACATCCGGCGGACCTCCATTTGTTAAAGTTGCTATATCCAAATCGCACAGAACAGACGAGCAACGTTAATGTTCCAATTTACGTAACGATAAAAAGAGCAGCAGGTACTAATTTGGCGGAACAAGGAAATCGTTCTTTCTTTTTCTTGTCGGCAGAGAGATGATTATCTGCACGATTGTCCGCACTAATTACGAACGATCGGTCGAAAGATAAATGGAACATCGGGAATGCAAACAAATGAAATAGATGCATTATCGGTGCTCAATCTGAAGATCACCGCGCAGAACGGCGTTCGCGTTGCATCCTCGCGAAGTACGCGAGGCTCTTATTTTTTTTTCGCAGGAAGCATAATGATCGCGCGAAGCTGAAGAATGCTGCAGAATCGATCGAGCACAGTTTTTGCTGCACTCGGCACAATCGTTCCCGACGACGCGTTAGAAATGTAGTTATTTTTATGCGCGACAGATAAGAAAATGGTTCCGATAATGTCTGAAATAATGAACTGGAATCAATAACTTAAAATGATTAATGACCCAGTCGTTGCATACGTTATGAACTAGACTCTCTCTTTCTCTTTCTTTCTCTCATGGACGTATGCGGAATGTTATCACGGGGCAACCAGCGAGTTATCGCGAATCAAGCGGAGCAGTTCGTGAAAAATCTATCGAAGCATTTTCTTGCTGATCAAGTTTAATCAATCTCGAATATTCTGCAGTGGCCGGTACAATTATTTCAGAATAACGCTAGATTTCGGCCGCAACTTCACGATCCAGTTATTTTATTGTGTTCGCCCGCATCGCGAAGTTCTCGATCTAATATATACATATATACATATAAGTATGTATATATATATATATATATATATATATATATATATATATATGTGTGTGCAAGAACGTGCACGTATATTATAAGCAAGGTTGGACGTAAATCGTGGCACAAGCGGGATGAGAGAGATTCTATGCCTCAAAATAGGTCGACATGATAGAATAACTTTTTCCCGTGCGAAGCTTCATGTTCTAGAAAAATGAATTTCAAACTTTCCGAATAATTTTCACGCGGTAAAACGACGGTATCCGTGTCCCCTGCATATTTTTATTTATTTTCGGGGTAGGCGTTTCCTCTTCGAATTTGTTGCTTTTTAAAGCGTTTGAAAAAAGTTCAAATGCATCCGGATCGAATCTCTTCGAAGTTCTTCAGGGCATGGATTTCCGGACGAGTTCAGAATTTTAGAAAATTTATACACGCATCACGGAGCACGGGAATAAATTCATTCGGATCTCCCCGTGAAAAATCTAGGCTAATCGCTATTTATTATCGTAACACGTCCCGATTTGAACGGCGAAACCTATACATTCGTATTATCGCCGTTTTAACTAATGAAGAACAATGTGAAAGAGGAAACGCAGTTAGCACGAGCTCATTAATGCGCGATATCTTTCGTATTCCCTTCCGCATACCTTTTCCGGTGTTGACAGATTAGCGTTAATTGTTACACGATGATCGTGTCCGTTTAAAACTGTATTAACAATTTATTGGAGACACGGTTTCGTAACAATGGTCGGAACTCGCGACCGAACGATTCATTATTTCTAGAGGATAAACATTTTCATGCTTGTGCATCGTATGAATAATACATTTCGCAAAGGATTACTCGGATAGAACATGCTCTTTAGTGATTAATAGACGTTCTGAAAAATTCATTTGTACATTGTTGAACTGTAGGAACAGCGTTTTTCATCACATCGCGTTTTCATTAGAAGTACTTTTACTTGAAGCTCGCTGTTATTAGTGCCAATGATTTTGTTAAGCTTGATTTGTATTTTTTTTTAAATTTGTTATTTTCTATGAAACAGTTGATTAGAATGTGGCAAATTATTTTGGCACAATTTCACTGATTTGGACACGTTGCCTTTCTCGAGCTGTCTTCGGGACGACGATGGTAAAATAGGATTTTTTACATTGAATTTATGTTCCGAGGTATACGTTTGTAAAACGTATGCAACGATACGCATGATTTCTATTTATAATCCAACTTGATATTGGAAATACATTTACAAGAATGTAGCATATATTTCTAATGCCACGTCCGCGTAATAAATTTATCGGCGCTTCGTGTTAAAATGCGTCGATTCGATATTATTTAACTAATCTTATAACGGAATACCGGAAAATCGATATGTAATAAAGTAACGCATAAAAGAAATATTTATAAATAGACTGCGGACTTTACGCGTTTATGGCAAAAAAAAACCGGCGTGTAAAATTTAATAAAACGGTGACGAAAGATGGAAAAAAAAACAAGTAAAACTAAAAACGTTGGCGTATTAATTTCGATTTATCGAGATTATCAAAGGAAGAAATCAAATTTCGCAGAAAGATCCGTGGTCTCTCCGTTTATAAATACACGCGGAAGTTTTATTATTATGAGTTACGTGAACTTGTTTCGATACTCTTCGCGACTTCCCTTTGTTCCGTACAACTTCCACCCCATGTTTCAGAAACAATTTGTTTAATTCCCCCCGTCTATTTTTTTCGCGAAGCTGACCTACTTTCCGGTCAACGTTAACCTTTAATACATCGAATCTGCTTTCTTTTCACATTCAGAGTTCTCGTGAATTGTGTCCGACGGTGTTCTATTATATCGAGATCAGGACATCTCACTGGCCACTCGAAAACACTTATTTGCTATTGATCGAGCCCAGCCGTCCGCACATTTTGCTGTACCGTCGTACGCTTGCATCGCCTTGCCGTTGCTGAACGTTTTTACCAAGGTATTCGCGCGTTGCGGATTTATTCGTTTCCAAATTGTTTATTTTCAGTACGAATTTCACGTGCGCGAATGCGTTCGTACGCGTTTCATCGTTGCATCGTTATAGAACCGAAATCGAATAAATAATAATTTAAAGCGGAATTTCTGCAAATTTGTTGCATATTCGAACGAGCGTTGTTCGTCTTGAAACAGCGAACGGAATTGATTTCCTGTTCTGTAGATTTTAATGGGGATTAAATAATACGGGAATTCTATTAACCCTTTGCACTCTGAGGCACCATTAAAATTTGTTATATCGCGTTCTAAGATAATTTTTAGATCAACAAAATTTAGACTTAAATAATTGTTAAGGGCGTAACTGTTGCGTGAGTCACAAGAGCCAATTTCATATGCATAAAATGCACTTTGTCGTATAAAATAAAAATACTGTAAGCCAGAAAAATTATTCTAGAAAATTACCTAGAAAATTATTCTAGATAAAATGCACTTTGTCGTATAAAATAAAAATACTATAAGCCAGAAAAATTATTCTAGATTTACAGTTGTAATAGCTTCGAGTGCAAAGGGTTAAGCGTATTCAAAGTGCTAATTTGAGGTTTAACGAGCTTTGTACCTTGAATCGTACCTCCTCTTCCCAAATTGCCCATTTTTGTGTACAATTCGAGCGTCAATTAGGGAGAATTTACTGTACAATCCGAGCGTCAATTAGGGAGAATTTGCTGTAGTCACTTACGGCTGGAGATTAATCCAAGCAACCGCGATCGTGTCCCAATTTGCAAATAGAATCCATTTGAATAATTTTATTAGTTATCACTATTTGATGTTCGCGAATTAAATAAAGTACCCAGAGGAGTCTCATTCTCGGTAATAATTGCGGAGGGTTTAATTGAGGAAACGCGGGCAAACGTTTCGCGACGAGACGATTCGTTCATTGTACAAAGAGACGTAGAATTTGTTTGTAGATAAACGAAGCATATTTTATTTTATTGATGTCGGATCGTGTTCGGATATCTTACTGAACAAACAAGTAATTTTTTTAAGTAAAACGAGAACATATTCTTTAGATAATGTCGGAACAAATTCTCTGTATAATCGTAATTGTCGAATATGCTACAGTTTTTAAGAAGCATCGTTGTCGAAGGATATTCGAGATAGAATTTTATGCGAGGAAGACTTGAAATTTATCAGACACGAATTATTGTTCGGCGTACTTCAACCGGGGATCAATATTACTTCGCGTTGATGAATATTAAACGTCCACGTCTGCCATGAGTACGTAATTTTGTTCGCTATTAAGGAATTATTATCACGAGAATACCTCTTTCGATTTTTCAGAAGCTTGGAAACCGTAATTGGACGATCTTCGTAACGTCCTCGCGATCTTTTTCCAATCTAAAAAAATAAAGAAAAATAATTCGAAGTAATTAGCGAACTTGAATATAATTTAGTCGATTATAAATTACCTTAACCTAGGTTTTAACACGCAAAGAGCAACTTCTAACAGCGGCATCGAGTATCGTTTCGGCAAAGATCATGCTCGCCGAGCCAATTACGCCTCGCATTCACCGAACACAATAGTTCGGAATAATTCCGACGCATTCTTAATCCGCGCGAAACACAAATTACACGTCTAAGAAAGCGGGGAACGAAGCAACGTTGTGCCAGCAGCACGGACGATGAGAAATAAGAAAGGCTTTCCACTCTTTTCAAGCGTTGTACGCAAATTAAAAAAAAAAAGAAAAAAAAGAAAAGAAAGGGTCCACGAGAATTAGACGGTATTACATGTACAAAAGCGTAATGAGGGTGCAGAGAAGGGAGGAGAGTGGAGAAAAAATAGTTCAGCATAAAAGCGAGCTTCGGATTAATTTGACACCCTGGAAAGCAGATACATGTTAAAATCGATTTTGATGCAGTACCCCAGTGCCTTCCCACCGGTTTGTGAAAACTGCCCTCGTTCCATTTCGGCGTAACAGAGAAGTAGGTTAAAATACAACGATACGAAACTTACGAACAACCGCATGCTTTATTGTATGCCCGATTTCATCTTCCCAAAGTCTCCGGTCAATTTCCGACGTTTCCGTGCTACGGTCTTATAGCTCTGTAGATACTGAACTTTAGCATCCATTCAGGCCGCGCCAATCGACACACCGCAGTGACTACTATACAATAATGTACCGTCGGGTCAGATGCCGGGGCATGAGATCGAGATTTTTATCTCTACAGATAAACGTTTCACGTGCCCCACAATGTATGTACGGCCGACCCGCCACGAAGATCTCTCCTCGCCGCGTCGTACCGTGGTCTGTGGCCAAGAAGCGTTCCACGAGCAAAATTCAATTTCTTAAGTTTAATGTACAGAGCGTCCCAGGTTTTAATGTTCAAACTTTGTCAGTATATTCTATGGCATAAAGTATGAAAAGAATGTTATGTAAACATAGGTCATATAGAGCTTTATTAAGAAGTTATAACAAAAATTCAGAATAGGAATAGTAATCAACTTGCTGTTACTGCGAGCATTGGCTTGAATATTGGGTTGGCAACTAAGTAATTGCCGATTTCAGTTATAGATGTCTCTCACTCCCATTTTTATGATATCCGTAATGTCTCCCTAATTGACGCTCAGATTGTGCACAAAAATGGAAAATTTGGGTGGTGGAGATACGATTATTCCAGCCTTGCAGCTCGTTTTTATTATAGTTGTTGACAATCGATGACCATGAAAAACGAGTCACGAGGCTCGAACAATCGTATCTCCTCTTCCAAAATTAGACAATCTGAGGGTCAATTAGAGAGACATTATTGTACAATAATGTCTCCCTTATTAACGCTTAGATCGCGCACAAAAATGGACAATTTGGGAAGAGGGGATACGATTAATTTGAGTCTTGCGCCTCGTTTTTATAATTACCGATTCTCAACAACTATAATAATCGTGTCTCCTCTTCCAAAATTGTCCAATTTCGTGCACAATCCGAGCGACAATTAGAGAGACATTACTGTATTTAGATAATTTAGGGAGACGACGTTCTAAATACGAAATCACAAAGTCCCAAGCAAAATTAAACGTTTTACACACCAATTATATAATAGAATAATAGAGAGAAAGATATGATCCAATTTTAATCACTTTTTAATCCATATACTATAATATATATCCTATATAATAATCTAAAACAATAATATATATATCCTATAATATATACTATAATATAATCCTATATCCATATAAATAGCGACAAAATTAAAACAACTCAAACTTTGGGAAGCGTTTCGCAGAAACTGTTATCAGCTCGAGACCTTTTTCACATAAAAGCTTGTCTTCGCGAGAAATGCTGGTCGCCGCGATTTTTTAAACGTCAACAGATATTTCTGTCTTGATAATATTCTAATTGGTCTCGAGACGAATTCAACGACCTACTACACACGAACCTGCTTTACAACCGTAAACCTTGTAACAACGCTAAAATGATTTTGATCACAGGGAAGCGAATTCCCAGACGACTGTGCGTCGTCTTACCCACCTCTCTTTTGTGTACCGTGTAAATCGTAACTAATTGATGCCTTCATATTCCACGGCCAACGTCGAGCCAACGTCGAGCCAACGTCGAGCAAACCGTCAACGTTTAATTAAGGAAGCACACTGTTCCAATCAAGCGTATTTACCAGCGTGCAGGAACCACACACGTGTGTGATTTATTTATGTATTTTTAGGGCGAGCGAAAGGGTTCAAAGCGAGCCGATTTGGGTCAAATCGTTGCACCCCCAAGACTCGAAACAGCGCGCGATCGTTCGGGAATAATCAATTCGAAATTTCCCTATGCACCGGATTCTAACGCGATCTTCAATGAAAAATAGCATTTGCCAAATCCGAGTTACAAAATTAATGAGAAAGCGTTTCGGGGTAGGACAAAGCCGCCTAATTAAATCATAAGTGTCTCTGAAGTGGCAATTATTGCAGAACGCGTGCGATTGAATTACACGCACTTGTCTTTGTTGCCACGATCGTTTCACGATGACAATATCTGCGGAAAAACTCAACCGGGACATAATTTTTGAAAGCACGATAGTCGTAAATGCACCCCAGTCACGTTGAAAGAGTTAATCGCGAGCTAGCTCGATTTTATCAGCACGACCAATTTTCCGGGGGTAATTTGAAACCGTTCCGACACCCGATCAAAGTTTTATGGTCGCAGAGAAAAAGAGTTAGGAGAGAGAAGAGAGAAAGAAGAGAAAGAAGAGAGAGAAGCTAAGCATTTCGGAAAATCGCACCAAAGGTAGCTGCAAGAACATAAGGATAACGAACGCGGAATTGTGTTGAATTAAAGCCGAGTAGTCGGGAGGATCGCGAGCCGGTGGCAATATAATAGGTAAAGTACGGGTGTCCGAACAGCTGGGTAGTGCTTAGGTATTTGAAGTGGCGAGGGAATGCGATAGGACAACGAGAATATCGGGCTATAAGTTAAGGAACGAGACGAGAAGAGTGAAACACGTTGGATGGAACGGGATAAAACGGGGTTGCAGGATCCGCGAGTATGAAACACACACGGGAACATATGTGGAACTAGGGCGAGAAGATAGGCTGGCAAGAATAAAGGCGATAGGAAGGAAATAGGGAGCGTGTAGAGCATCGGCGAGGCAGATTGACGAAATGAGAAAGGCAAACCGAGAGGAATTAGAATTGTCTCAAGACGAAACGAGATCGTGGAAAGGAATAAAATGGTGCGAGTCGTGCGCGCGCTGCCTTCGGAACACGTTTCTCGATTTTCTGTGTTGCACTGCTCTCTCTCTATTCCTCTGCAACGGTTAACTTCAGTTATATGTAGACTGCGGATCTTTATGCAAATTCTCGTATGTATATACATATAATGTATTATAACATGTTATAAATGTATTATATATTTTTGCTTAATTTTGCGTTACTTGATAAACGTTTGCTGCACGCGAAGAGATTATTATAAGCTACGTTTATGAAATATATATCTCTGGATTATTCATTTTTATAACGTTGTAATATATATTATAAATGTATAATATATTTTTGCTTAATTTTGCGTTATTTGACAAACGTGTACTGCACGCAAAGACATTATTATAAGCTACGTTTATGAAATATATATATATATATATATCTCTGCATTATTCATTTTTACAACGTTGTAATATATATTATAAATTTATAATATATTTTTTTTATTTTGCGTTATTTAATAAACGTTTGCTGCACGCAAAGAGATTATTATAAGCTACGTTTATGAAATATATATATCTCTGCATTATTCATTTTTACAACGTTGTAATATACATTATAAATTTATAATATATTCTTTTTATTTTGCATTATTTGATAAACGTTTGCTGTACGCAAAGACATTATTATAAGCTATATTTATAAAATATATATCTCTGGATTATTCATTTTTACAACGTTGTAATATATATTATAAATTTATAATATAATTATTTATAATGTAGGATTTA